AAAAACCATGAAAATTGGTCCAGCAGATCTCGAGTTATAAGTGCTGGAAAAGTTTGCACAACTCTCTTTTATATATATATAGAGGTATTTAAAAATATATTCAATCTATACTTTTTACTATTTTCATATTGGTTTTTTGTTTCTTTTTAAATTTGTACAAATGTACAGATAAAGCTGTTTTAGGAGACATTTCATTATTCTCAGTATGCGTTAATTAATTGTATTTACCTCATAAGATTTGTATCAAAATATAGAAGTCAATTAAGTAAAACTAGAGTACTTGCGAAACATTGTTCTTATAATTTCTAAACAACATGGAATACTTTTCAATTAAGCAAAAACTTAAAATATTTGGGGCATTAAGATGTCTAACGAATAAATTATAGATATACAAAAAGTAGACAAATACTTTTAATAAATGTTAGTATAAATAAATTATGAAGTGCGAATATGACAAAAAAAAAATGGTCTGCCATAGAAAAAGCTGTATGTAAATCCAAAAGTGTGCATGTTTCAAAGAAGTTGGGATCAATGCTTTCCTACAGATGATTAAATAGATGGATACTCTGGCCATCTGCCCCTAATCAACTCATCAAAAATACATCAAATTTGATGTACATGGTACGCCTTTGCATAAATTTTATGCTATTTGCATTATAGCTTGAACTCTTATTTTCAATGGTTTCTGGCAATAAAACGCGAGAATTAACAGCAATTAAATTCGGGTCCTCTAAGGCTGAATCAGCCTCGTCTCTCGTCTCTGTCAACACATGCAATGGCGTCATTGTCCTTTTTTTCCTTTTTTGGAAAACTGTCGTTAACCAACCAGGCGAGCACTGGGGAAGAAACTCATTACGAGTCGCGCAAAGTAAACTTTTGTTTACATGAAATTAGTAAAATGTTTGTATATCAAATTAATGCAACATGGAGACACGTAGAGCGTGGCTGCGTTGCGTGCGTTAACTTCGCTTGTTTGCTGAGTATAGACTTTGATGATTTTTCTGTATTCGGCGGGATCTCACATTAAATTAAAGCCACATTTGAATATCAAAGAAGGGTGTCTGAAAAATGTGAAATAAGCGAAGAGAGCAATCATTTTTTCGACTTAAATTATTTATTTAGACTGATTTTTGGTTTTTACTTGTATTCGGATTTGTGAATTTATTTATAAAGTTTGTTTTCTCACTTGAACTTCATTCACTTACCGTCAACCATCAGATCTATATATTTCCTATATTGAGTATTATAAAATTTTAACAATTATTAAATGTATTCAAAAATATGAATAATACTTGAGATACTCTTGATATTATTTAAATTTTCATAAATTAACATAAACTTTAGAAGGAGCTTAGTATTTTT